AGTTGATCGCATTCGACAACTTTGAGCAGCTGATTGAGGGAATTGACAATGCGAACAACCTCATCCCGCTCAACTTGTGGAAGCCGCTTGTCGAGCTCCTCAAGCACGATGAGGCTGAGATCAGACGTTATGCGGCCTGGTGTGTGGGGACAGCTGTGCAGAACAACCCCAAAGCACAAGAACAGGTATGAAAAACTCCAATTGATCTGTCAAGTGTGATCATCGCAATACTAACGCATCCACCAGCTCGTTCTCCTAAACGAGATTCCTACCCTCGTCAACCTCGCCACAACAGAGACCAACCCCGCAAACCGCAAGAAGGCCATTTACGCCATTTCCTCTGCAGTCCGTAACCACCAGCCCGCCTTGGATGCGCTGAACAAGAGTCTTCCAGAGGGCTACCCCACTGACAAGACCGACGCCGCCGACATGGACGGCATTGATGCTATCATGGATAAGCTACGCTCCCATCCGGTCGATGCCTCTGCATGAAAAAACACAGCTGTGACTGGACTGTAAGAGTACGAATACACACAAAGACAGAGGCAGCAAGATACCCACTGAATGCGAGTCCATCCTTTGGGACCAGCCTTGTGTCGTGCCAAGAGTTGGCGTTTGCAGTGCGACAGGCAACTATGCTGTTACTACAACTGTGTTGAGCGCTGTGATGACGACGCCAGGCTTCAGTGCTTGGGAATGCCTGCGATCATTTGACGTGCAAATACCCGAAATGGTTCTGCACTGGTTTCTGGTTATTTGGTTGCCTGAGGATTGCATCAGCATATCTGGCAACCTGGCTTTTTTGTGGCCTAAGCCTATATTTGAATTGTGAATACCCAGCGGCTCTTGTCTTAGATCAATACAACCGCGAATTCGACTGTCAATGTCAATTGCGGATACATATCTGTAGCTGTGTATCCATTTCGGAGCCTATATATGATGTGTCTGATTTGGACTGTTAATTTGGCTGTGGCAGTATGATCCGAAGAGTGCAATGTACATTGTACCATAGCTCATTATTTGACATATACCAATGAAAGGCGGAGATCAATTTACTACAATTAGAGCTGATGTTTCCCTTGGTTGATGATATTCATAGATATAGCGGAACAACATTTCTCCACCCAGACATCGTCATTAGACTCCAGCTCTCCCCAGCAACATCCCCTCAACCAAGATCCCATCCCCCACACATCCCAAAAATGGACAGCTCAAGCAACCGACTCTTCCGCTTCTCCAAGCCCGAGTGGCTGAATAACTCTGCCGTCCGCAATGGCGGCGTCTACGTCGCAGGCGCACTGGTAAGCACCCGATCCACCTCCACCTCCACCATCTTCCGGGGTCGCTCGTCGCGATGACCCAAGCTCAAAGCCTTCAAATCCAAAGCAGAACGAAATGGAATTGAATCATACGTGTCCTTCAGTCAAAGGCAAAGTAGAAGAATTCAAAGCTAACAACTCACTCTTACCATAGTTCGCAGCAGGCTTCTTCTTTCTAATCGACGTCGCGTCATTCTCACGCAGCCCGCGCAACGGCTCAGACGTGCATATCAAATTTGTCGACTGGATCCCGGGTATCTGCTCTGCGCTCGGAATGCTGGTTATCAACTCGATTGAGAAGAGCCGGCTGCAGGCTGATAGCTTTAGTTACAGCGGGAGCGGGGTTGCGTGGAAGGCGAGATTTGTGCTGTTTTTGGGCTTTGCGCTGCTTGCTGGTGGACTGGCAGGGAGTGTGGTATGTTTGTGTTCTCTTTTCTGCTGCGTTTACCCCGTGGGTGGTATGTATTGGCGGGCTTTGCTGACTCGTTTATCCGTAGACGGTTATGGTCCTCAAGTACCTCATCAAGGATTATCCTATCCAGACGCTCTACTTTGGAATTGCTAATATTGTGGCGAACGGTCTTGTCATGCTCAGGTATGTGTTATGTTTAGTTTGATTTCATTTGATGTGAAGCCGTACTTATATACTGACATTGCTATTCCTGTTATAGCTCGATCGTTCTCTGGGTATCTCAGAACATTGAAGATGACTACACTTACAATCTCGCACTGTGAGTCGGGATTTTTCGATCTATAACTTGTCTTTCTGTATTCTATTCGATCTTGGTGTGATGACTTTTTGCCGGAATGCATTGTATGCCTCCGCACCTTTGGCTGGGATTGGCGCTTTAGCATGAATTTATTTGCATTTCTTTTACGCTTCGCTGGCTTTAAATTGAGAGTACTTATTGTCCTCGAGATATTGAGAATATCATTGGTATTCTATAGTAAACGGTAGAGTTAAACATTATCGAGGAAAGTATCATTGAAATTATGCATAGAGAAAACAAGGCCCTGAGCCGCCCTTCAAACGCTAAAACCCAGATATGCATTCATCAAATCGTAAAAATCACCATCACCTCCGTTGTTTTGCAACACCCTTCAGTGATCCTCGCAGAACAATCTCAGCAATTCATCGATACAAGTCATAGCTTTCTCCTTCTCCAAGACCGAAGGCGCCACGCCCGGCATCTGCTTCAAATACCGACGGAGCGCAAAAGCAGCAGCTTTATACGTCGCATGATACATAGCCTTGAACTCATCATCATCCGCAGCGGTACCCGGAGCAGGCGTTTCAGCGCGTATAGCTTCCGGCGCCGGCATCGTACCCGAGACATCAGGCTCGGGTTCCGCACCAACACCCACTGACGGCTTGCTCATGGACGCAGAGCGCATATTCGGATTTGCACGGTGGAATCCATACAGACGCATACAGGTCAAGATTGTGCGCGTGATGAGATTCTTGTTCTCCGCAATCACTGTATCTGGATCCTTAGCCGGCGAGCCTGGGGTAGAGACTGGTTTTTCCTCTGAGAACGAAAGAGATGACGGGCCCTGGCCTTGCGACATCTGTGGTCCACGGCGCAGACCAGAATCCAAGAACGGGTTCGGCGTTGGAGCACGCTTTTGCGGGTCGGCGTTAAGGGCTGGCGTTGCGCGTCCGCGCACACTGCCTGGGCGATGAAGGCCTGCCCCGATAGAGACGGATCGAGAACGGTGCGAGACGATCCGGTCGAGAGATGGGAGGGAGGGGCCGTCTTCTTCGGGCTCGCGCTTGATACGTAGCGTTTGCAGGTTCTGTGATGAGGAGAGAGGTCGTGAAGGTGCCATTAGCTGTGAGACGGCTTCGCCGCCTCGCTGGCGGACGCGGCGGTGGTGCTGCGCGGCAACTTCAAAGAGTGTTGCTACTCTCTTACGCTTGGGGCTGGGGGAGCTTATGTCCGGTAGGAACTCTGCGCAGTGCGGGTTGGCGATAGGTTGGTTTGGGTTGGAGGGGGGTGGAGATGGGTAGGCCTGGGCCTGGATGAGTCGTGAAGTTGATAGTGGTGCGGCGTAGATTCTGAGTTCATAGGGAGCACGTCGTGATGTGTTGATGTGACTTGGGATGTCGGAGGGGGATGAATGAGGTGGGGTGGGTGGACGTGTGCATGATGCTGCGCTGGATAGCACTCCGTAGACTAATAGGCTTGTTGGGGCTGTGTTGCCTGACTTAGTATTGCCTTCGACGCTGACCAGCAGACCAACTGGGCACTGCAGAGATTGCTGGAGTGTTGGATCTTCTTCATTCAGCCAGAGGGCGCCTGTCAACTTCCTTTGGAGCCATTTTGATGTCCCCGCGTGGGACGTGTGTAGCTCAAGGTTTGGACCAGCTCGGGCATGAAGTGGGATAAGTGCTGGATTGACGAAGCTGCGGAGATTGAGCTGGGATTCTTTCGATAACTCAGACTGCCAGTAGGAATTCGGATCGACCAGCCGAAGCCCTTGTAAGGTGGTCAGTGAAGGATAAGATGAGATACGCGTGTGGTTTACCTTCTAACTTGGAGTCCGGGCTGAGAGGAATAGATCCTGTCCAGATATTCATTTTGTTATCTGGATCCCGGAGAAAGGTCTCATGTATTTAGCATAGTGATATCAATTTTGTTTAGTTGTGTTGTTTCTAAACTGATCTGCTGTTAACTCCGAATCTCTGCAGACGCGCCAAATCCGCGCGCGGTCACGTGGATCATTTCATAGATCAGACCAAATGAATCGGTTCGAAAATAATTGTGGATACTTTCAAAAGCTATGTAGATTTACATTCCTCGGTTTTCAGAATAAATTTCTATATCCATTGGGTTATAGTACACCTAGAGTAGCACAGCCAGGTGTTGGAGCCATCGCCATTTGTAGTGAGGCACACCCTCACCAAATCACTCATACAAAGCATATCAAGCATACGCTGAAATCAAAAGAAACAGTAGAAAAACGGTTATCATCATAAAGAAGGCCAGGTGCTGCGAGGCCAACTGACTTACAGTATAGCCCTTGGTAGCCCCGCGCCTCATCCAGTCTAGGCGATCAGAATTCTTCCTGCTCCTGGAAGAACATTGAGAAGCTGATAATGGTGCCATAAATCAATAGGCCTCCAAAAATGGACATGATCATCGCTGGGATCTCGATTGCACCGCTGTGGGCGAGGACGATAGGAAGTGCTAGGGGGAGAGGTCAGCTGAATATTGATCAATAGTGCGATATAAGACAATTAATATAGCGATATTATGGTCTAGGCACCAAGAGTCTACCATTCAGGAATGATATGTCCCACAAGAGTGGGTATTGTTGACAGAACCAACGACGTACCGATACCAGTAAGAACCAAAAATCCGGTCATGAACCGTCCAAAGTCCATTGCAGAGTTGCTCGAGCTGTCCATAAAATCATCTGGGTTTGCGCATCGTTGGCAGATCCAGTTGGGAAGCGGCGCAACAACATAGATGCCGACCACCAGCAGCGGCCAATACCGGTGCCATAGCGCGGAAGAGAGAATCACGAGGAGGAAGCCAATTGCGAGAACCTGGTCAGATGTTAGGAGATATCTTGAAGCCAGGCAAACATATAAAGGAAGCGTACAAAGGAGAGCGCGATGATGGTCTTGAGTCCAGCGGCCATGATTGCGGAGACGCCGAAGCCCGTTCGATGAGACTAAAGGTGGGAGGGGTAGGACTTATTGAACTGGGTGAATCCAGGCGACAAGATCAAGAACAGACCAAGAATTACTGCCCCATTGGCCGAGTACAGGATATCAAAGAAGGACAGTACAGCGATAAGCTGGAGATGAGCTCAAGAATGAGTGACGTTGGCGCCTGAAGGTCACTGGATATTGTGGCCTCAGGCACCAACAGCTCATGCTTCACACCGCGTCACTTTACTGCCTGCTCCAGCTCCCCCATTCTCCCTCCATCACCGTATTTCCCTCGGATTCTTGAGTTGTTGTTTCTGAATCTTTCTTTATCAACAAGAAACCACTTCCTCTGTTTGCTTTGATATCCATTCAACCCTATCCGCTACGATGTTCAGAAACAATTACGACAACGATGCCGTCACCTTGTAAGACCAGGTACCCGACCTCCCTCGGATTCATCAGATGCTAACTCGAAGGATCCCAGCTCTCCACAGGGTCGGATATTTCAAGTGGAATATGCACAGGAAGCAGTGAAGCAAGGATCCGTTGTCGTGGGATTGGTGAATAAGACACATGCCGTGCTAGTTGGACTCAAGGTTCGCAGACCTACTACAACAGAGAACGAACAGACCGAACCGTCAAAACTAACATCTGGGTACCCTCTAGCGCAACGCAGAAGAGCTTTCCTCGTATCAGAAGAAAATCATCGAGATCGACTCGCACATGGCGATCGCCATCGCCGGCCTCGCATCAGACGCTCGCGTCCTCTCAAACTTCATGAAGCAGCAGTCCCTCGGATCGAAGATGACCTACGGCCGGCCCATCCCCCTGGACAGAATCGTTGCCCAGATCGGCGACCGCGCGCAGACCAACACCCAGCACTACGGGAAACGGCCGTACGGTGTGGGTCTGTTGGTTGCCGGTGTTGACGAGGCTGGCCCGCATCTGTTCGAGTTCCAGCCTTCCGGGCTGACACACGAGATGCTTGCTTGTGCCATCGGTGCCCGCTCGCAGATGGCGCGTACGTATTTGGAGCGGAACCTCGATAAGTTCCAGGACTGCAGTCGCGACGAACTGATCCAGCATGGTTTGAGCGCGCTAAAGGAGACGCTGTCTCAGGATAAGGAGCTTACGGTCGACAATACTTCTGTTGGTGTTGTTGGTGTGACTAATGGCAAGAAGGAGAGCTTCAAGCTGTACGAGGGCCAGGACACGGCTGCCCTGCTTGAGGTGCTGGAGCAGCGTGAGTCCGCTGGTGCCGAGGGCGAGTCCATGGAGGTTGATTCATAATTGTTTTGATTTGGTTTAATGATTCGCATAGACATGAAATCCTGATTATGCTTTGTCTTGTGTTTGCGTCCAATAACCTCAGTTATTCAATCATCAATTCATAAGGCTCTAACAAATGATCTACTTGTGTATGTTCATATGTACACAGAAGTTTCCCACTGAAATCCGAAAAAAAAAACCCGAAACGGATGCGGCGACATCTATATTCGAAAATGCCCCCGTTTGTTTGATGATCAAACAAAGAAGTTTCACTCTTCTCCCCAGTTCAACTGCATGCGCCCATTGCTGACCTGATAAGCAAGCAACTTCGGCCAGACCTCAGAAACCTCCTTGGCCTCCGCAAGAATCTCCCCATTACTAGCACTGATATATCCCTCCTGCACAGCATTGCGCACCCAAGCCAACAACCCATCCCAGTATCCATTGATATTCAACAATACAACACCAACCTTATGGATCCCCAACTGATTCCACGTCGTCATCTCCATAACCTCCTCAATAGTTCCGAACCCACCAGCCAGCGAAACAAACCCAGACCCGGGTCCGCCCTCAAGGACCTTCTCCGCCATCATACGCTTGCGCGTGTGCATGTCGGGCACAATGGTGGTAACACCGTACTCCGACTCGGGTATTCCATCAGCGTCATCAGCATCAATCACCCGCTCGGCAGCTTTGCCAGGTCCTTCGGCACTGGGCTGTCCTTCATGGTGCCCGCGCATGCTGCCGACGGTTGCGATTTTGACTAGTGCGCGTGGGATGATGCCATGCACGGCTTTCGGACCCGAGAGTGCGACTAGCGCGCGCGCTAATTCACCCATGAGGCCTGTTGTGCCACCACCATAGACTAGTTTCACGTTGTGCTTGTGGAATTCTTCGGCGAGGGTTCGGGCCGCTTCCATGTGTACTGGGTTGTTGCCAGGTACGGAGCCGCAGCTAAGGATCCAATGGGAGGGTTTGTTAGTTCAACATTTCAGGGAAGTGTGAGGTAGATGGGAAATATGGGTTGGGGGGGTTACATGCGCCAGATTAGGCGATCTGGTGTGGTAACCTCGAAAGTGCCCAGGTGGGTGTATGACTCACAATACACAGACAACGGCGGGTTTGGTCTCCGAGTCTGCCATGTTGATATATAATTGGGGTTTGAGTATGCAAAGAAGCAAGAGGTCTTGAAATCGCTGTCAGAGGAAGAGAGGATGATCGGAGAGGACGCTGGGACGAAACAGGTACCCAAAATCCCCCCCCCACTCCGAGCTCCGATAAGAGATAAGTACAACGTCAGGGTTGCCCACCTGGGCAGGTGGACTCCAACTTTGCTCGAGGTACTGATAACGTAGGCAACAATTTACAGAGCAATAACTCTATCTATTTTCTATGTTAGAATCGGATTGGAGGTTTTTGCGAGAGTCCAGCCACTTCAAGTTCGAAAGGGAATTCGGACTGGACATGGCTACGAGGTTCAGCATGTGGACAACGACCAGGCTTTATACAAGAGAACAGGCATTCACTACCAGCTATTACATCTATATAATTTTGTGTAAGACTCATGCTAGTTGTGATTCGAATAAGGTAGAGCCATTTCTTGGCTAATCTTGGAATTATATATCTTTGTCGTGCACTCCGCCCACGTTATTTAACCTCCGAATATCTTGTATCCTCGACGTTTGAGACATTGGAGAACATCAAAGTAACTGCTTCAATGATGTGTATGAAAAGCTAATATGACCTCCAACTATGAGGTATTAATGAAGTAGTGGCAAGTAATCAAAAATTGACAATAGCTCTAAGCTGGGAACATAAACTTGTGGCTTACCATTTTAGTTTAGTATATCCTTTGAAGGCCACCGCTTTGGGCAACATGCTCTTCTTGTTCTTACTGAAAAGATAATATGCACTTCATACACACCTATAGACGGGATAGCACTCTATTCTGTTATAGAAAAATGTTCCAAGATGAAAAAAATTACAACTGAGCAATCAGGCCAAGGGTGTATATGTAGAGCCCAGCTGATAGCCAGCTCCTAGATACCAACAGAATAGTAATCATAAATGCTATGCCCAAAACCCCAAACGCCCAGAGATGCAACAAAAACAAGGGTATCAAGAAAGCAACTCAGCTAACGATCCGGCTCTTCTTCCTCTTCGTCTTATCGCCAGAAGAGCTGGGCGGCGAACTACTCTTGTCGGAAGCCTTACCAGGCGTCTCAACGCGGACCTGCGGCGTCGAAGCCCTAACAGGCAGGGTGGAAGGCGTACCAGTCGCCGCCGCATTAGCAGCTATTTTCGGTGCGGCTTTAGCAGCCGACCCGCCAGTCTCGCCGCCAGTCCGTGATAAGATGAACGAGCCTGGTTCGCCAACGAGGGGGCTCTCGTCCATGAATTCGTCGCCGTAGCGCGTGAGTAGGCTGAACGATTCGGCCAAACTGCGCGTATCTTGAAAGCTTGAGCCTGTAGTTGTTCCACCTAGGCTTGATTTACTGGTTGATTGGGAGGATTCGGTGGTTGGGAAGGATGCATCTGGCATGGGCGTTGCTTCTTTGCTCTGGGAGGCTTGGCTGGTGGTTCCAGCGGTTTCTTTGCTGCGGACTCCAGGTGGTAAGTAGGTGTGTCCGTGGGAGGCGGTGAATGTTGGTAATGTTGCGGCAGATTTCATGAGCTGAGTTAGAGATGTGACTGCTGATAGCTGTGGGGGAAAAGATTCGTTAGTATACTCGTCTCGAAGCGGTTGGTGAGTTTTTGAGAAAATACATACAATTCGGTTGCCCACTACACTTGCGACTGAGGGGGCCATGTAGATACAGTCTCCAACAACGAAGTACGTAGATATCACGGTCACCTCGTCGTCCATGCCGCTTCTTTTCCGTCGGTTTTGCTTGCGGATCACCCAGATATTGGATGGCTCGTGGGCGAAGCGGTTGTCTGTCTGTGCGGCTGCTTGGAGGGGGTCATATGATACGATAAACTCTAGCCCCTGCATTGTTTTCAGTCGGGCTTCGAATGCTTCGCGGGTCTCGACGAAATGACGGAGAGCATCATTGTAGTTGGCTTGGATGGCTAGCGAGGCGTTGTTGGAGGTCGAATCAAAGAAAGGGGATTCGGCAAAGTAAAATAGGACTAATTGACCAGGTCAATTTCAAGTCCAGCTGTAGTAAGACGTGCAACTCACTGTTGTTGGAATGAAGGAAACCCCCATCATCTGGACGTGCGGGGGAGACCGCCAGAGGATCTCCTCCATTGAGGCCTCCTGGCTCGCCATTTCCAATTCTGGGAAAATAGACCGAGTCAACTCCGGCCTACCGAAGCTCGAGACAGGCTTTGATCTTGAAAATTGCGAAAGAGGCTCAAAGGAAAGATGCAGCTCGGAAGTTGAAGCTGCGGAGAAAATGATGTTTGTTTTGTTTGCATCTTGACAATACACGATGACGACAGGGAATCATCAGTTGAAAGAGTGGTGAATATTCGCAGTTCTATATTCTATGATTATTTGACAAAGATTATAAGACAAAATAGAAGTTGTTAAGAGAATATCAAAAAGCCAACCAAAACGCCAACGCTGTATGTTGAATCGAATCTCTATCCCAACGCATGGATCCGAATGTTGAAAGCAAGGAAAAGCGCGGATCATGATGCGACCAAGCATCCATAACTATCATAACGACTAATAACCAGAGCAACAATGAGTAGCTAAGAGGTCATAGCCAGTTTCTCACCTGCCTCCAGCGGCGTGAAGACGTTGCAGACTACACGCAGTTTGGTCAACATCTCATCCCATTCGCCCTCCGCTGTGCTGAGTGTGGTAATAGCACCTCCGGCCCCAATTCGCCAGGTCTGCTGCTTATTCTCGGTGTAGTCTCGGCCACTATAACAAGTGAATGCCGAGCGGATCAAAACCGAGAAGCTTCCACCACCACCAAGGTCCAGGAAGCCCATGACACCGGAGTAAATGCCACGCTTGCGATTCTCAATTGTGCGAAGATGCATGCAAGAACGTTCCTTGGGTGCGCCAGTCATGGATCCTGGTGGAAGGCACCGCTGGAGAGTGGTCAGGCCGTGGACGGACATGTTGGGGGTATTTAGCTGAGGCATATGTCGCACCGCGAAACCAGGGTGGTTGGGGCGGATCTTGCCCTTGATGTGAGTGATCATCGAGTAAACTCGGCCGTAATCTGCGACTTCGAGCAGCTTCTCGACGTGGACGCCACCTGATCCGCAGATGCCATACAAATCGTGCCGGATCAAATCCGCGATCATGAGGTTCTCGGCCATCTCTTTCGTGGAGCCGAGGATCTCACAGGCCTTCTCCATGGTCATGCCTGGGCATTTTCGGACTGTACCTTTCATTGGCTTCATCTCCACAGTTGACTCACGGTCCCAGTTGAGGAAACACTCTGGGCTGCTGCTCGCGATCTTCGTGTGTCCCAAATCTGCAAAGGCGCTGAATGCAGCTGGGTTGTATGTTTTGAGTCGCTTATACAGTTTCCAGGGAAACATCAAACGATCAGACTCCACTTCGGGAACTGGCAAAGTAATTGACGTCTCAGAGGTTAGACATAACTCATAAGATTCACCGGCTTCCAGCTCCGCTTGGCATGACTCGATTTGCCGTTTGTACTCATTTTCCTTTGGGAATTGAATTTTGCTTTCCCGGAGAATTGAATCCAAGTCCCGATCCGCAGATGTATCATTGCCACTGTCCGAGAAGTCTTGCAGCTGCTGCAATGTCTCATTCAGCCAACCCGCATCATCATCACGAGTAGACTGAATAACAATGAGGCCAGTGCTATTTTCAACAACGATACTTCTTTCGCACCACATGAGGCTAACATCGGGTGGGTCTGCAAAGGCAGGATCACATAGGGATTCCCTGGCCCTGGAGGGCTTTGGCGGCTCAGAAGCCTGCGCATGGCCTGGGTGGGGAAGACAAGTGAGACCAAGTTCGTAGGAGAAATAACCCAGGAAGCCACCCCAGAACGGCACCTGGGAGTTCCCTGAATCAACTTTCTTCATTTCCATCAAATACCGCAAGGCATCCCACAATTGAGCAACGGTAAGATAACTTTCAACCTCTTTGCAGTCGCCATACAGCTGGAGCAATCGAAGTATATGAGTCGCAACATTGTATTCGAACCGCCATGAGCCAGGACTCGGCACCGAAGCGATGCTGTATTGTCCATTCGATTGAAAAAGGACTGTTGGCGAACCTGGTTTATTGAAAAGTTCACTTATAGCCTCTGCGGTCAAGCCAGGCCGATTGAAGGACCGGGAAGTTGAAATCTTGGAAGTCGACTGGCTCCACTTGAGCATTTCATAGGCAGCATCAGGGAATGGACTTGGGGCTGTTAGGGGGCTGATCACCTTGCTGGGAAGGGAACAATATCCCCCGCGTCCAACACTCTTGTTGTATCCAAGAGCCATTCGCCACCAATTTCGGAGAAGTGCCTGGCAGGCATTAATTTCTGATTTGCAGGACTCCGGGTGGAACTGAACACCCCAGAATGGCTTCTTGAGATGGCGAACTGCCATTGGTATCTGTATCTTGGAGCGATCCTTGAGAGATAACCAAGCCAGATATTCTAAATCGGTGGATGTTGAAGAAGCCGAGTTGGCATAGAGTGAGTGGTAAAGTGTCACCTCTACCTCCGGTAAATGCTCAAAGATATCCTTCGCTGACGTGGAGATCTTGTGAATCTGGCCATGAATGGGGTACGGGAGCCGCTCGATAGGAACGCCATTATGAAGGCAAAGACTTTGGAATCCAAGACAGATACCAAAAACGGGAAGGAGGTCTGATTCATGAAGGTTCCAGATGTCTCTCATGATACCGACATCAGTAGGCACATTAGGATCTCCTGGTCCTGGCCCAAGAACGACAGCTTCGTAGTGCTGCAGAAACTCGTTTATATTGGAATCTGGCCACTCTGATTCGATGGTCATGACTGTGACCTTGACCCCCAATGTTTCCTCCAGCATGGCGACAACATTGTAGGAGAATGAGTCATAGGCATCAACATACAAAACGCTCTTAGTCGAAGAGCTGGGATCAAGTTGTGGCACTGTGTTTTCATTTGGGGCATCCCAGTCACCTAGCATTGGTGCCATATTGATGTTTGAGTCTGATGGTGGGGTTTATATGAGGCTTGATTGGTCGAAGAATTCCACACCCAGCGAGAATTTCAAGATCAATTAAAATCCAAGTGATCAAGGCCCATCTGCATAGCAGGATCTTCGATTTTTAGCCTTGACACCTAGACCTCGGGAGAGTTCGCCGCTTATCTGATGGAACGAGATCGGAGATGGCAATGTGCTCAGACCATGTCCCAATGACGAAGATAAAAGTAATAGCTGTAGTGGTATAGCCCTCAAAGACCAATTTTCATGCAGAGATGCAGGCAAGCTAACAATGCATTGTCGTTGACGCAAGAAAAAATTAAGGTTGGCGAGCGAAAAAAGGCCAAAAGCGGGTACCGACGGAACTTTCACCGATGTGGCAATGCGATGTTTGGATGTTTTTGATATTGGACTACGGAGTACTTAGTACTTCTGACGAGAACAAGACAACTTGAAACCCTTTGGTGAAATGTCGGTGAGAAGCATGATCTAATGTATCATACAGTGCTTTATCTAAACCCCTTGACGCGGTATATATAGCCTCGAAGTCAGTCCCTATAGACAACCACCATCATTGGAGCGTCTCATCTCACCTGTACATCGATGAAATATCATATCACGCTAGCCGGAAGGAGCTATAGAACGTCAAACTACTCCGTAGGATGGGGAATAAATGACTCAAAAGAGTGCATGGTACCTGTCAAGTTTCGGGCCATCAGTTTCAGCTCTTATGGGCTTGTTGAACCAATACCAGGATGTCCCATCTGTGAATCAAGTCAATTTGCCAGAAATAATGGCGATGAAGGACCGGGCCTTCAATCTCGATCAGTGCGCTCTTCATGAATACTGTGAGCAACTGATCGCGTGGGAAGAGTCACTTTAAACCCAGCCTAAAGGGTTCACGGAGCAGATGCCGAGTTGTCACGAGTGAAATCTTGTCACCTTTGAATCGAAATACGAAGGATCAGCATAGTCAATGAGATATTGCCCAGATGAGAGGTCTCCATCCTGGAGCACCAAGCCCTCATGATTCTAATTTGTGAGTAATCTAACCTGTACAACCTTGAGCTATTTGATAATGGGAGAGTTGACTGAGCGATAGGGCAATGATTGCTTGTCTGAATATATATTACACCTCGAAAGCGAAGTGATAGATAAGTGAGGCAGAGCTGAGGTAGAACTGAGACAGGGCCCTACCCCATAGCAATAACTACTAGCGTTCCAATCGGCAGATCATGGATACATGTCTCTCATGAGAATTTCTTTTTACGGGAGATATCATCGAAAGGACTGTCATATGCACATTTTTGCCGCAAGGAACTCGAAATTTCTACAATACTGTAACAAAACTAAAGCACTATACATCCGAACGGGATCCGAACGGAGTCGATAGAGGGTATCCAACAAGGTAAAACATCGAATCTATCCAGATTGAGGAGCTGGAGCTGGCACCTGGAGCGAAGCGAGCTTGACAGCAACCTTGGGGAAATACTGGGTCACAAAGCCCTCCGTGTAGTAACTATGCGCAGAACTGTGGTCCCCAACCAAATTGTGTGCCAGCTCATGACACAGAATCACCCACCAATACACAATAGCATCAGCGCGATCTGGGCTTGCGCTCTTAAGTAGCTCCTGCTCCTGCAAAGACTGGAAGTAGAAGTAGTTGCAGAAAATACTGCCCGCGCGGTTGAATGCGATGGTCTTGCCGCCCGGGTCATAGAATATGGTCAGACTGTTAGGTCGCATCGAGAAGATCGTGCCACAGTCAAGGAGGATCGAGGCAAAGAGGTTAAATCCTATGCGGTTCTTCGCGAGGAAGGCAGATCGCTCAGTGACTGACTTCGTGAAGAGGACGTTCATACCACTGCTAGGGAGCGTGGCAACAAATTCCAGGTCGTGGCTTGGGCGTTCGTCACAGTATGACTTGCTTTCCTGGATTTGATTTGTCTCTGGGCGACTGTACACGTCGGAAGATCCGTGAGGTCGGCATGCTTGGACGGCGGAAAGAAGCTCCGAGTTCAAGCGGTGCGGTGAATTGGAATTTACAGATTGTTCTGGGCGTTTTCCCTGAGTCTGGGGGTCATTGGGGGAGTAAGGCGGGGGTGGAGGCGTGGAAGACTCGGGAAGCAGAGATCGGGATTGTTCTTC